TTACACTATTTGAGTCTCTCTCTCCTTTTAGAGCTAATAATGTTTGCTTTATGTATCTGAGTGCTCTGGTATTGAATGTGTATATATTTACAGTTGTTATATTCTCTTGTTGAATTGATCCCCTTATTATTATGTAATGTCCTTCTTTGTCTAATTTCACAACTTTTGACTTGAAGTCTGTTTTGTCTGATATAAGTACAGCTACTCCTGCTTACCTTTGGTTTTCGTTTGCATAGAATATCTTTTTCCATACCTTTGCTTTCATTCAGTCTATATGTGTCTGTAGGTCAGGTGAGTTTCTTTTAGGCAGCATATAGTTGAGTCTAGTCTTGTTTTTTTTTTTTGTTGTTGTTGTTGTTTTTTAATCTAGTTATCCAGTCTATGTCTTTTAATGAGTTATTTAATTCACTTACATTCAAGGTTATTATTAATAGGTGAGGACTTATCTTGTCATTTTATTGATTGTTTTCTGGTTGTTTTGTATAGCCTTTGTTCCTTACTTTGTCTTATTATTTATTTTTGTGGTTGGGTAGTGTTCTGAAGTGATAAGGCTTGATTTCTTTCTTTCTGATTTTCCTTGGTATTTTGGCTCCACCCATGAGTTTTATAGTGTCACATGTTTTTATAATGGCTGTTATGATCTTTTCACTTCCAAGTATAATACTCCCTTGAGCATTTCTTGTAGGACTGGTCTAGTGGTGATGGATTACCTTAGTTTTTGCTTGTCTGTGAAAGATTTTATTTCTCTTTCATTTCTGGAAGATATCTTTGCTACATGTAATATTCTTGGTTGGCAGATTTTTTTTTTTCTTTTAGTGCTTTGAACATAAAATCCTATTCTCTCTTGATTGGTGAGATTTCTGCTGAGAAATCTGCTATTAGTCTAATGGGAATTCCCTCATAGGTGATTTGATGCTTTTCTCTTGCTGTTGTTGTTGTTGTTGTTGTTGTTATTTGTTTGTTTTTGAGATGGAGTCTTGCTCTGTTGCCTAGGCTGGATTGCAGTAGTGTGGTCTCGGCTCACTGCAACCTCTGCCTCCTGGGTTCAAGTGATTCTCCTGCCTCAGCCTCCTGAGTAGCTGAGATTACAGGCACCTGCCACCATACCCAGCTAATTTTTTTGTATTTTTGGTAGAGACAGAGTTTCACCATGTTGGCCAGGCTGGTCTTGAACTCCTGACATCATGATCTGCCTGCCTTGGTCTCCCAAAGTACTGGGATTACAGGCATGAGCCACTGCACCTAGTCCTTCTCTTGCTGTTTTTAGGATTCTTTGTCTTTGACTTTTGATAATTTGACTCTAATGTGCCTAAGAGGGGTCCTGTTTGAATGGAATCTATTTGGGATTCTTTTGGCTTCCTGGATCTGGAAGCTCCCAAGACGTGGGAAGTTTACAGCTACTATTTCATTCAATGTTTTCTGTACATTTCCCCTTCTTTTCTCTTTCTGGAATACCTACAATATGCATGTTCACTTAATGGTGTCCCCTGAATTATGTAGGCTTTCTTCATTCCATTTTACTTTTTTCTTTTTCCATTTTTCTGTGTTATTTCACAAGGTCTGTCTTCAAGTTCAAAAATTAAGCCATGCATGGTGGCTCACACCTGTAATCCTAGCACTTTGGGAGGCCAAGGCAGGCAGATCACTTGAGGTTAGGAGTTTGATACCAACCTGGCTAACATGGTGAAACTCCATCTCTACCAAAAAATACAAAAATTAGCTGGATGTGATGGCACACCCTGGAGGTGGAGGTTGCAGTGAGCTCAGATAATGCCACTGCACTCCAGCCTGGGTGACAGTGAGAACCTGTCTCTAAATAAATAAATAAATAAATAAATAAATAAATAAATAAATAAAATTCTGCTTGGTCTATTCTTTTGGTAAAGCTCTAGCTTGTATTTGTTTATTCATTGAATTATTCTACTCTAGGATACCTGTTTTGTTCTTTTTTATGGTATTTATCTTCTTGTTGAATTTCTTATTCAAGTCATGAATTGTTTTCCTGATTTCATCAAATTGTCTAGCTCTATTATCTTGTATCTCACTGTAAGATTACTATTTTGAATTCTTTTTCTGTCATTTTATATATTTCTCTATCATTGGGGTCTATTACACAGGAATTATTGTATTCCTTTGGAGGTGTCATGTTTCCTTACTTTTTCATGTTCAATGTATCCCTATGTTGATTTCTATGCATCTGGTGGAATAGTTGCTTCTTCCAATTCTATGCAGTAGGTTTTGCAGGGAAAGAAATATTCATATGACTGGATCTTGGGGTGTTGGTTTAGTGGGATGCATTGGTTTTGGTTCCAGGTGGGCATAGTAGTGTAGTTTTTGTGTAGTTTCTTCAACTGTAATCCATGCTAGTGATGTTTATGAGTGTCTCAGTGGCCTCAGCTGAGAGGCTTTGTGGTGGTGGTGGCATGACTTTGCCAGGGATGTGCTCACTGGGCTATTTGTCAGGTCAACGATGCATGCATTCACATGGTGGGTTGTCCAACTTGGGGTCTCACTTGCTGGGGTTGGGATTGGTTCCCTTACTCTGGCTGAGGGCACAGTTGCTTGGTTGCTTGGCCAGGCTGGGAGTATGCCTGCCAGTGGTGGCCTATTGGACTGTTTCTCAGGTTCAGGACATGGGCGCACTGCTGCTCAGCTCTCCTGGGGGGAATGCCTGCTGCAGACAGCCCACAGGGTTATTTCTCAGGCATGAGAGGTGGGCATAAGGCTGCTTGACAGCCCTCTGGGCATGTCTGCCGGGAGTGGCCTGAGGAGTTGCATCTCAGACCTGGATGTGAACACAGGGCTGCTCAGCTGGCCTAGGGGAGTTGCTGCTGGGGTTGACCCATGAGCTGTTTTTCAGGCCTGGGATGTGGACATAGGGCTACTTGGTTAGCTTGGGGTTATGTCTGCCAGCGGCATCCTGCAGGGTTGTTTCTCAGGCCCTGATTGAGGTATGGAGCCTTTCGGTAGGCTGGGGGCATGCCTGTAGGGGGCTGCACTGCCCGACTGTTTTACAGATCCTGGATGCAGGAGTGTAGTCACTCTGCTAGCCTGTCAGTTGCACAGGGCCTTCTGCTTGCAGGAGGGTATACAGCAGTTTGGTTGGCTCGAGAGTGGGTTTGCCCTGGGTGGGACTGTTTCTGTGGCTGAAAGTGAGGATGGTGGTTTTCCTTCAGTGCAGGACCAGAGTCACAGCCATTCCTGGGACCTGGGGTGTGGAGTTCAGCCACCTGTGTAGGTTTGGTGGCATGAAGATGGAGTCCCAGTGCTGGAAAGGTGCAATGGCTACTGGCCCCAAGAGGAGGGCACACTCCAGAGGGAGCTGTGGTCTGAAGATGGCGCCATGCTGTAGTAACTTGGCTCATGGGGTGGGTGGGGAGTGGGGTGTACGCCTAATCTGGGGCAGTGCAACTGTACGAATTCCCAGCAGCTCTCCAAACTGGGCTCAGAACTTGGAAGGACTGGGGGATCCTCCTGTAGTAAGGACGGTAGGTGTTTGCCGTGGCAGTGGAGGCAGGTGGAAATCTCCTGCTTACCTTTTCCTCACAGGGAGAAGGCCCTCATATGTCCAGGCCTACCCAATCCTGGTGGAAGAGATGGGGCCACAGAGGCTGGGGGCCTTCATGCTGCCCTTCTAGACTTTCAGTCACCACAGGGGCCTCTCCACTTCCCCACTGCAGTCCAGTGCTTTCCCACACTGAAGTCAAATCTTAGCTGTTTATTCATTGCCTTTGTCCTTCCGTAAGAAAGTGGGGGGCAGGTGAGCACCAGGTGCCTCTAATCAGCCATCTTGCTGATGTCCCACCCACCATTTATTCTATGATTTTTCATGAATCTGATGAGAGCTCTAAAGTGAATGTTCATCTCTTCGTTGAAGTGGTCATAAGGTGGTGTTCTGGACAAGATGATCTTCTCAGCTTGGACAGAATGTGGACAGGCAGGGAGAGGAGAGGAGCTACTTGAGAGGAGAATCCTGAAAATATGGGGACTGAGGTGGAAATCATGTGTTTTCTGATCCTTAGGTAGCGAGACCAACTGGTCTGGTGCAGAAAGGGCACATGGATCATTAGAGGGAGTAAGGTTAAGATTGATAAATCAGAATGTGTTTATTCTGTTATGAATGCTACATTAAAGTCACAAAATTGGTATTGAAACCCTGCATGTGTCTGTGAGCAATCAAATACTCCTTTTTTTTTTTTTTTTTAGAGACAGAGTCTTGCCCTGCTACCCAGGCCGCAGTGCAATAGCGCTATATTGGCTCACTGCAACCTCTGCCTCCCAGTTCAAGCAGTTCTCCTGCCTCAGCCACCCAAGTAGCTGGGATTACAGACGCCCGCCGCCAAGCCTGGCTAATTTTTTTTGTGTTTATTAGAGACAGGGTTTCATCATGTTGGCCAGGGTGGTCTGGAACTCCTGACTTCAGGTGATCTGCCCACCTCGGCCTCCCAGATTGCTGGGATCACAGGCATGAGCCACTACGCCTGGCTCCAAATACCCTTTAATGGGAAATTATATGGTCTCTTTTTTAAAAACAACAACAACAACAACAATAACATTGTAATCTGTAGTCGCAACATTGTATCTGCTTGAGAAATAATATTTGTACCTTTGGGGTCACATAGCCTCTGAGACCAACTTTGTCCTAATGAAAAGGCTACTGTTCAGCCTTCTGTTTTTGAAATTTAAGAACCTCATTTATTACCAACTTCTCTTAGGATTATTAACTCAAACATTTCTTAGAGGATTAGTACAAATATTATGTTCTCTCATCATCTCTATAACAGGCTGTAATTCTGAGGACCAACCTTGTGCCTCATTCATCCCTGTATCTCTTCCAGCACTGAATACAGTTCCTGGCATAAACTCAGGGTGCAATAAATTGTGTTTGAATTGAATTTTCAAAGCATTCAAGGCTGGCCACCTCTGCACTTGGTGGGAGTAATTTGCATTTGAGCTGCATGTTTTGAGATATATCAATATCGTTTAATATTGTTCTTTAGGTCCAGCCTGATGAGTGAAGAGGCTAAGCGAGGAGCACCCAACCCTTGGCTCTTTGAGGAGCCAGAGGAGACCAGAGGCTTGGGTTTTGATGAAATCCGGCAACAGCAGCAGAAAATTATCCAAGGTACCAAATACCCTGAGGAGTGTGGGCTCAGAAACCTTGCCAGAATTTTTTTTTTTTTTTTTTTTTTTTTTTTGAGACAGAATCTTGCTCTGTCACCCAGGCTGGAGTGCAGTGGCATGATCTTGGCTCACTGCAACCTCCACCTCTTGGGTTCAAACGATTCTCCTGCCTCAGTCTTCCGAGAGGCTGGGACTACAGGCGCGTGCCACCACGCCTGGCTAATATTTTGTATTTTTTTAGTCGAGACAGGGTTTCACCCTGTTAGCCAGGATGGTCTTGATCTCCTGACCTCATGATCCTCCCACCTTGGCCTCCCAAAATGCTGGGATTACAGGTGTGAGCCACCGCGCCCGACCACCAGATTTTTTACTGGAGCCTTGATTGTTCCTCATCCCCATTGAAAATTGGAGTGAAAACTGCTGGTCTTTTAAAGCTTTTAGCGTGTGCCTCGGGATACCTGAGGAATAGACAGTTGCTGTCACTCACCTCAGTGGCTCATGGAAGTGGTGACTTTGGGCAACAGCAGAGACAGCGGATCTGAGTCAAAGTCCGAGTGAATTTGATGCCTATGCTCTGTGCTTTAGCTTCACGACTGGGAATTAGTCTCCAAATGCAAGACTCCATTTTTGTTGTTGTTGTTGTTATAAAATATGTCAATTTGGCTTTTCTTTTTTATCTTTTGCCCTGTGGCTTTTTTACTTTTTAAAAAAAATTTTCTTATATTTGTAAAATTTCAGACGTAATGCATGATTATTATACAAAGTGTAAACAATATAGGAATGTCTAAGATGAAAGCCCTCCATATTGGTTCTCCAATCTCAAACTGGAAACAGATTAATATGTATTTCCTTAGACCTTTTGTATATATTCACATACATATATTCAATATAAATACACGTATTTTACATAAATGGAATCATGAGATATTTAGCTCTCTCCATATACATATAATTCCACACCTTTTAAAAACTTAGTATGTGTCGGCTGGGTGTGGTGGCTCACGCCTGCAATCTCAGCACTTTGGGAGGCCAAGGCGGGTGGATCACCTGAGATCAGGAGTTAGAGACCAGCCTGGCCAATATGGTGACACCCAGTCTCTACTAAAAATAAAATAATTAGGCACATGTGGTGGCACGCACCTGTAAACTCAGCTACTCGGAAGACTGAGGCAGGAGAATCGCTTGAACCCAGGAGGCAAGAGGTTGCGGTGACCTGATATAGCATGCCACTGCACTCCGGCCTGGATGACAGAGTGAGACTTCAGCTCAAAGAAAAAAAAAAACTTAGTATGTGTTATGAACTTTTTAAAATGTCAGTATGCACAGCTATATTATTCTTTCTAATTCTGCTTTTTAAAATCAGCTTTATTGCCAGGGCTGGTGGCACACGCCTGTACTCCTGACACTTTGGGAGGCCAAGGTGACAGGATGGGTTGAGTGTAGGAGTTTGACACTAGCCTAGGCAACATAGTAAAATCCCATCTTTAAAAAAATTAACAAATAAAAAGGAAGAGGAAGGAGGAGGAGGAGGAGAAAATAAATCTAAAATCAGCTTTATTGATATATAGTTGATGTGATCATAAATGGCCAATGTTTGAAGTATATGATTTGATAAGCTTTGACATGCATATATGCCTGTGAAACCATCACTACAATAAAAATAATGAACCTAATTGTTACTCCCAAAAGTTTTCTTCATGCCTCTTTGTAATTCGTCCTATTGTTCCTCCCCGCCATGCCCAGACAACTGCTGAACTGCTTTCTGTCACTATAAATTAGTTTCTATTTTCTATAATTTTATATAAATAGAACTATACAGTATGTATCTTTTGGGGAAGAAGGGGCTCTGGCTTCTTTGTCTAAGCATAATTAGTTTAAGATTCATTGAACTGGCTATGTGTATCAGTATTTCACTCTTTTTTTTTTTTTTTTTTTGAGACATAATCTGGCTTTGCTGCCTAGCTGGAGTGCAGTGGTACGATCTCGGCTTACCACAACCTCCACCTCCTGGGTTCAAGCAATTCTCCTGCCTCAGCTTCCCGAGTGTCTGGGATTACAGGCACCTGCCATCATGCCCAGTTAATTTTTTGTGTGTGTATTTTTAGTAGAGATGGGGTTTCACCATGTTGGCCAGGCTGGTCTTGAACTCCTGACCTCAAGCGATCCACCCGATCGGCCTCCCAAAGTGCTGGGATTATAGGCATGAGCCACCACGCCCGGCCTGCGTTTCACTCTTACATTGTAAATTTGTATTCCATTGTATGGATTTACCTCAATCTGTGTATCCATTCACCTGTTGATTAATATTTGGGTGGTTTTTAGTTTTTGGCTGTTACAAAGAAAGCTGCTATTTGCATTCATGTATAAGTCTTTGTATGGACATAAATTTGCATTTTTTTTTCTGAGGTAAATACCTACAAGTGGAATGACTGAGTCATATAGTAGCTGTATGACTTTCTAAATTTAAAACAATTTTTAATTTGCAAGTAAAAATTATCTGGTTTGCAACATGTTGCTTCGAAATATGTATACATAGTAGAATGGGCAAGTCAATCTAATTAACTTGTGTATTAGCTCACATGCATATTTATTTGTGGTGAGAACACTTCAAATCTACTCTCTTAGCAGTTTTTAAGCATATTAGTCACCCTATTGTACAGCAGATCTTTTGAGCTTATTCTTTCTGTCTAACTGAAATTTTATATTCTGTGACCCGCATCTCCTCATCTCTCCCCCAACCCCCAGGGCTTGGTAACCACTCCTCTGCTCTCTGCTTCTCCGAGTTCACCTTTTTCAGATTCTACGTATAAGTGAGATCATGTGGTATTTGTCTGGTTTTCTTTGCCTACAAATCCCAGCAGTGGGATTGCTGGGATCACTTTTAATTTTCTGAAGAACCTCCGTACTGTTTTCCATAATGGCTGCAGTAAATTTACATCCTCACCAACAGTGTGCAGGGGTTCCCTTTTCTCCACATTCTTGCCAGCACTTATCTTTTTTCTTTTTGATCATAGCCATTCTGACAGGTGTGAAGTGATAGCTCATCATGTTTTGTTTGTTTTTGTTTGTTTTTGAGACGGTGTCTCGCTGTGTCACCCAGGCTGGAGTGCAGTGGTGCAGTCTCTGCTCACTGCAAGCTCCGCTTCCCAGGTTCACGCCATCCTCCTGCCTCAGCCTCCCAAGTAGCTGGGACTACAGGCGCCCGCCACCACGCCTGGCTAGTTTTTTGTATTTTTAGTAGAGATGGGGTTTCACCGTGTTAGCCAGGATGGTCTCGATCTCCTGACCTTGTGATCCGCCCACCTCGGCCTCCCAAAGTGCTGGGATTACAGGCTTGAGCCACCGCACCCAGCCTGTTTGCTTTTTTGAGACTCTGTTGCCCAGACTGGAGAGCAGTGGCGTGATCCTGGCTTATTGCAACCTCCGTCTCCCAGCTTCAAGCGATTCTCCTGCCTCAGCCTCCCGAGTAGCTGGGATTACAGGCGAGTACCACCATGCCCAGCTAAGTTTTGTATTTTTAGTAGAGATGGGGTTTCTCCATGTTGGCCAGGCTGGTCTCAAACTCCTGACCTCAGGTGACCCGCCCACCTTGGCCTCCCATAGTGCTGGGATTACAGGTGTGAGCCGCTGCGTGTATGGGCCTATTTCTGTTGTACTCTCTGTTCTGTTCTTTTCTGGAAAAAGACAGAGAGTTTATCTTTATACCAGTCTATTTGTTTGTCTTTATACCAGTGCCACACTGTATTAATTATTTAACCTTTATGATGAGTCATTAAGTAAGATAGTACAGGTCATCCAACTTCGTTTATTTTTACGATTTTATTGGATATTCTAGGTCTTTTGCATTTCCATGTGAATTTTAGAATCTCTTTTTAATTTTGCAAAAGAAAGCTTCCTGGGCATTTGATTGAGATTACATTGAATTTTTAGATTAGTTTGAGGAGAATTGATATTTTAACACTATTGAATCTCAAATTCTCTCAGCAATGCTTTTTTAGTTTTTGCTATACATGTCTTATATATCTTTTATCCTATTTATTCCTAAGTATTTCATATCTTTTTTTTTTTTTTGAGGCAGAGTCTCGCTCTGTCGCCCAGGCTAGAGTGCAGTGGTGAGATCTCGGCTCACTGCAAGCTCTGCCTCCCAGGTTCACGACATTTTCCTGCCTCAGCCTCCCGAGCAGCTGGGACTACAGGTGCCCGCCACCACGCCCGGCTAATTTTTTGTATTTTTTTAGATAGAGACGGGGTTTCACCTTGTTAGCCAGGATGGTCTCGATCTCCTGACCTCGTGATCTGCCCGCCTCGGCCTCCCGAAGTGCTGGGATTACAGGCATGAGCCACCGTGCCCGGCCTTCATATCTTTTATTCTAAGTAGCATTTTGAAAAGGTCAATTTCTAATTGTTGCTTGTGTATCAAAGTACAATTGATCTTTGTATATTGATCTTGGATCATGCAGCCTTACCAAACTCACTAATTTCTGAATGGTACTCAGCTCGAGAATCAAAGTGGCCCCTGTGCAGGTCTGCAGAGTGCTCTCTCTGCAGTCCTCTCTGGTCCTGTGCCCTACATCCTCTAACCACCATGGCCTCTTTGGACTTTTCTCAACTCAAGGAAAATGCTGGGCTGCACCTGCGTTCTCCCACACCCACACCATGGCTTGGGAACTCTTGTGAGGCAGTAATCTGGGACAGTCTTAGAACTCACCTCATTTGTTTCCCGTCTCAGAGATCACCGCCCTTCATTTCCTTATGTCCATGTCTTAAAACTGTTGTCCTATTTCGTTTTGTTTTTCCAGTTGTTTCAGGCCAGAAGGGAGTCTGGCGCCTGTCAGTCCCTCTTGGGCAGACGCAGAAATCTAATTCTATTTTGAGTTCCTTTCTCACGGTGAAATTACCCAGTCAGTGAAACACTGTGAGTCTCTTACATCTTCAGTTTTACATACTTCACTCATTACCATATTTGAAGGAAAGTGAAAAAGTGAAAAGCAACACAGCTTT